ATCCACACGAGTGGTTTGCTCTAGAGAAAATCCGCTTGAACGTAACCCAAATTCATACGAGTGGTTTTGCCCATAAATTTTCAGAAGACTCTATTCGATTTTGCTCGAGTGGTTATCAAATTTGTACGAGCGGTTTTGCCTAGAAAACCCAGAATTTGATTTCGCATCCTAAAATAGGTTCCAATGTCTAAAACTTAAGAATTTTAATCTGAAAATGTCAAGGGGGATTTAGTAAGAGCAGAATAGAATTATCAACAATCCAATACGATAAACAAACGTCGAAAGTAAAACACACTATCAAACTACACAATACTAGTCAAGTCCAACACTCGGGACATCACATCAGCTAAGCCCATGTGTCTTTTATACTAAAGCTAGATGATAATAAATTTTTAGTATTTTCAATGACATCATTGTCAGTACCAAAAATAAGCATGTCATCTACATAAAGACATATGATTACACCTTTATTGCTAGTAAATTTACTGTACACACACTTATCAGATTGATGTATCATAAAACCATATGTCCCTATTGCTTTATCAAATTTCTCATGCCACTGTTTTAGGGCTTGTTTTAGTCCATAGAGTGACTTAACGAGTTTACACACTTTGTGTTCTTGACCCTGTATAACAAACCCTTTTGATTATTGCTTGTAGATTTCCTCATTTGACTCTCCATTTAGGAAAGCGATTTAAACACCACTCAATCGTTGTATTTCAAGCTTGTAAATTGAAGGTAGGGTAATCAATAATCAGATGGTAGAAATTCTTGCCACCGGAGCATATGTATCATAATAATCGATACTCTCTTTTTGAGTAAAGTCGTTAACAATTAATCTTGTTTTGAACTTGTCAATTGTGCCATCAACTTTCATTTTTCTTTTGAAGATTCATTTAAAATCAATTGGTTTGGATCCAGGTGGTAAATCAACAAGTATCCAAGTATTGTTACCCATGATAGAATCCATCTCATTATTTGTTGCTTCTTTCCAGAAAGTAACAGTCCGAGTCTTTATAGTCTCCTCAAAGGTTAATGGATCTGAATCCACATTCAAAGAAATCATTGTTTGCTTGCAATGAGCTTCCCTAGTTCATTCTACTAGGTAAACAATAAAGTCAGAGCCAAATGACTTCTGAGTCCTAGCCCTCTTACTCCTTCTTAGCTCAACAGACTCATTAGGTTCAATAGACTCAATCAGAGAAACTGATTTATTTCATTGATTAGAATCCAACCTTGGAATGGTTGTGAAACAATTCTCATAAAATATCGTATCACGTGATTCAATGATGGTATTTATTTCTACTGAACCATTGCGTTCTATTACCAGAAACCGATATGCTTTGTTATGCATAGCATATCCAAGGAATACACATTCAATTCATTTTCACCTAATTTCTTCATTTTAGGTTTAGGCAATCTAACAATTGCTCTACAGCCCCAAGTTTTCAATTAACCTAGATTAGGTTTCTTTTTTTTCACACTCCACCTTAACCTCTACACTCCTTTTATTTTAGGGCGAACTTCACTTTATCCCTTTGTGGTTTGGGTCATGTGCGGTTTACCCCCACCCCCCTGATGTTTGGAAATGACCACAGAACCCTTATGTGGTTTGTGGATTGAAGTGCACCGTTAAACATTTTGTTTAACTTAACAGTAAGTGTGAAACACGTATAGACATAAGGTTATGTGTTCATTTTCAAAGTTCAGGGGGATAATTACATATGGAGTAAAACACAGAGGTTAAAGTGCACTTTTCCTTTCAAACAAATGATGAAAAAATAGGGGCATTTTAGTCTTTTTTATTAAATTATTAACGGACTTAACGGTGCACTTCAGTCTACAATCACAAGGGAATTATGCGATCATTTTCAAACATTAGGGGGGTAAATCGTATATGGTCCAAATCATAGGTGCTAAAGTAAAGTTTGCCCTTTATTTTATTTACATTTATTTTTTACCCCCTCAGAAGAAAAGCATGCAAGATTAAAAAAAAAAAAAACAGAAGAAGAAAAAGTTAACAACCAATTAATTGTGAAACAAGATTTTGTTAATTTGTGGCATGGTTTGGGAAGTTGACTATCTTAGTTGGCTTTCTAATCATTTTAACCTGGCTAAAAAAATTATATTTGGGTAGATAGTTGCCATTTTTTTTTTATTTTTTATTTTTAAAGTTGATTTGATAATTGTAAGAGAAAAATTAAAATGATTATTGGTTTCATGTGATATTTTGTCTTATTAACTATTTTAACATATTTTGTCTTTATTGATTAAATAATCCTTCCCAAACAGGGCCCACGGTATAAGAGGAAACAACATTAATGTCCAATGAATTACTTACTATAAAAGCAAACAATTAACACTAGAGTAATACTATACATAAACCTTAAATTCTGAAATCTAAATTTCTCACCAAATTTTTTTATTATTAGATCCAAAGATAGTAAGATCTATAATAATAAATGAATTTCTCAGTTTAATTAGTCAAGTCAATGGAGGCTAGAGGTTGTTGATGATCTTAAGGTAAAAGGGTAGTAGTTGTAGTGGTGGTGGTGAAACGAAGTGTTTGGAGGAAAGGAAAATTTTGTTATGGAAGAAGAAAATATTCATCATGCAAACCATGGTTATCTGTTTCATGGAGCTAGGAAATGCAGTATGTTTCTATCAAAGATGGTTGAGCCGTCGATGAGAGCTTCCATCATCTTCTTTTCCATCCTCTTGATTGGTGCCTTTATATCCCTCCATTGGATTGATGTTGTCCCTGTAAGTTTCTCTTCCACAAACTCATTTTCCCGCAAAATTCTCCAATCCATTTTCTCTTCTTTCTCTTATATATTGCGTTTTCTCCCGCCTCACCATGAATCAAAAGAAGCTACCAAGTATAGAGATGCTAATAACAAGCGTTGAATCTCTGAAGCCAGTTAAAAACTTGAGAATTTGATTTTTGCTCGTGTTTTCGGGGCTAACTGATACCTTTAGTTTTAGTAATTGTAGTTATTCGAAATTTATTTTGTAAGAATGAGTTCAAAAGTCGTGTCCGAAAGAGATTTCTGTTTAAAATGTCATATTTTTTTATTCAAACTTTAGTTTTTAATGGTTTTTTCCCCTCAAATTTATGTTAAATTTTAAAATTTTCAGTTCATGGAGTATAGAAGTATCTAAAAACTTTTAAAAAATCTAAAAAATTTCACTGAAAAAAAAAAACAGTCAAAAAAACTTCTAATTTTTTTAATTTTTTGTTAACTTTTTTTTTTTCAATTTATTTTATTTGATTGTTACTTTTGTAGTCGGTGTAGAACTTAAGAGAAATTTAAAATAAAATAAAAAAAATTTCAAAGAAGTTATCAAAAATAGAATAAACAAAAAAATCACTAAAATAACCAATTGCAAACCACAATCTCGGGGGTAGGTCATAAACTTCGAAATCTTAATCCTCCTCCATATAAGGCATCTCTTTTTTTTTGAATTTATATTATCTTCAATAACTTTTTTTTTCATTTTTTTAAAATTAGGTCAATTTTTTTTATTTTTTGGGTCTGGTTTGTGTAAATGAATATACAAAGTAATTTTTTTTTTTGAAATTCAAAAAAAAAATTACAAAAAGAAAAAGTAAGCTAAAAAAGTCCACTATTTTGCACTTATTTTTATTTTTTTTGTATTTGTTTTGACTTTATTATTATTATTTTTTATTTCCCGGATCATCTCGTCTCGTTGAATCTAGAAATGTAAATTTTTTTGAAATTTAAAAAAGAAAAAAATTCATGAATCTAGAAATGTAAATTTTTTTGAAATTTAAAAAAGAAAAAAATTCATGAAAGATGAAAATAAGCCAAAATTATACTTGACATTGCCAAAAAAAAAAAAAAAAAATCCACTATATAAGTAAACTCCAAACACCCATACCTACACGTTATAGTTTATTAGTAATTGTAGTTATTCAGTATTTATTATGTAAGAATAAGTCTAAAAAGTTGTGTCTAAAAGAGATTAAAAAGAAGTGGTTGTTTGACTTGTGAGGTGGTTGTTTGGGAAGCAGACGAAACATTCCTATTTCTTTTTTATTTTAGGGTATTACAATTCAGTGTATTTTTAAATAAATAATAAAATTTATAAATATTAATAATTAAATTTATATATATTTTTTATTAATTTATAAATATTTTATAAAAATTCATTTTTCTTTATCTTTCTTCATTTGTTTTATTGATTTATCAAATCAAAAGGTTTGCTGTCAAATTATTAAGGTATCAGTAATATTAGATAGGTTTTGCTTGATAACAGTTATAAGTTCACTTATTTTAGTTTATTTGGTTAAAAAAATAAACTAATGGTTTTTGGGTCCTTTTCTTTGAGTTCTATATAAGAAATTGTCTATGAACTATGAAAAAACACTATAAAAAATTAAAATTTTAGAAACTAAAATTTAATGACAAAATTATTTTTGAGGGATCAAATATTTTTGTTACGAAAAGTGTTGTCATTATATTTTTAGCAACAAAAATTAGACATTAGTGACAAATTATTATCATTTTGGGGTCAAATTTTTTGTCTAAAAAAATAAACTATTTTGAGACCAAATTATTTTGTCCGTAAAAGTCTATTTATTAGTGACATTTTCAAAATTTTGTCGCTGAAAGCCTTGTTTTGACTTTTCGATACGACTTTTTCGCAAACTATCCTCATGACGATAGAAATTGGTCCTTAAATGTCTTTTGTAACAAAATTTTCAGTTTTAGAGACCAAAAAATTTGGTCTCTAAAACTCTTATATGTTGTAGTGAAAAAAAAAACCTCAAAACTTATCAAGAAATTCAAATGGACAGTGAAGGTTTGATTTTGTTGTTGTGGAATCTAATCGTGAATGAATATTGGTAATAGATTATAAATTTTGAGTAATTTTCTAATTTTATTGAATTTGTAAAATTGACCAAAAGAAAATCTATTTTTATGATCTATGCATAAGTTTCTCCAGATATCTTCTGTATATGTGTGGTTTGTAAACACCCTTTTTGTCCTTTTGGTCTACTTGTTATAATAAGATGGAAAAACAAACCTACAACACCAACAATTAAGGGACCCAAAAAAAAAAAAAAAAAAACTCATACTCTATGTGGTTTGTCTTTTATGTCAATTCAATTTTTGTTACATCAATTTTATCATTGAATTATTCACATTATGTCAATTTTTGTCTAACAGACAACATCCCATTAGAAAATTTGTTAGAATTAAAGAACAAAATAGTCTATTAACTCTCTCGAAAGTAATTGACGGGTTAGTGTCTAATTTGAAATTTTCAATTCCCTTTTAAATAGATCATTTTATCTTTAATTTCTGTCTAATTTCTTAAAGAGTGTTTTTAATTAGATTCAACAATACAAAAAAATTAAAAGACATAGCTGATATAATTGAAACCATAGTGACCAATCAAAACATAAATTACATAAATTATAAGATTATGTTTATGTGAAATAAATTGAAAGAGAGTTGAGAGAGTGATATTGACAGAGAATTATCTGTTATTCATTCTGTAATGAGAAACCAATTCGAAGCTCCATAATATAGGAGCTGATTTACAAACATCATTATGATGTGTTGCATTAAAATAAAGAAAAGGAGCCGAAAGAGGAATCGGCCGAAAGCAGCAGCCGAAAGGTAAATATTAAAATATACCTATACATATTATATACATACTAACATATTAATATATTATAGTAATATATACAAACTATACTATGAGAATAATATATTAATATGTATGTTAACAGCCCCCCGCAAACTCAAGTAGGGCAAACATCAACCAACTGGAGTTTGGAGACAAGTTCAATGAAGCGGCCAGGAGAATGAGCTTTGGTGAAGATATCAGCAGGTTGATCAGTAGAGGAGATTGGATGGAGATGGACAGTACCACGAGTGACGTGTTGACGAATAAAATGACAGTCAATCTCAATGTGCTTGGTGCGATCATGAAAAACATCATTGTGAGCAATTTGAAGAGCACTTGGCGTAGTAAGACTTCCACCTCAAGAGAAGTGAAAGTCTGAGCTGGGCATCTGCTCTCCCTTCCTTTCCCGTTGTTGCCTCTGTTGATTTTTACCATTCACCATTAAAGAGGGTTAAAATTTTTTGGTGGGTTGGTGTATCTCTCTCTTCCACTCTTTGTGTATAAATAGAGACGGGAGGGAGAGGATGTATTGTATCATAAATTGGAGAGTGAGAGCTGTGAGTTACCTTTGTACAGGTATCCCAATTCTTACTCTAGAATACACAGAGCTTATTGTCTATTGTCTAGTTGCTGACTTAGGCATCAGAGGGGTTTCTGGCACACACCCGCCGGTTAGCTCACATTTGTGTTTTCAGGTGGCAAAGCAACGTTGTTTGGAGGAGTGCAAACTTGATCAACAGGATCATACGAGAAGGTGTATTTCTTTCCCGTACAGGTTCCATGGGCAAGTTAGAAAAACCTCATGCAGTTTGTATACCATACCTAGCTCAAGACCACATCAACCCCATGGTCAAACTCTCCAAACTCCTCCACCAGAGAGGCTTTCACATCACCTTTGTCAACACTGAGTTCAACCACAAACGTCTCCTCAAATCTCGGGGCCCCGACTCCCTCAACGGGCTCTCTTCCTTCAGGTTCGAAACCATACCCGATGGGCTCCCCGAGTCCGATGCCGATGCAACCCAAGACAGCGCATTACTGTGCGAGTCCACCAGGAAACACTGCTTGGCTCCTTTTAAAGACCTTCTTTCGAAGCTAAACGACACCACTTCGTCGAACGTCCCACCGGTGACTTGCATAGTCTCCGATGGGGCTATGAGCTTCACTGTGGATGCTGCTGAAGAATTGGGCAGTTCTTTTATGGACAGCTAGTGCTTGTGGCTTCATGGGTTATGAACAGTATCGTAATCTTATCGATAAGGGTTATATTCCACTTAAAGGTATTATTAATTCAATTAATATGTACATTAATAAAATTATATGTATACATTACATGTACATGTACATGTACATGCATTTAAGTATGCTAGATCAACACCTTTTTTTATTAATTAAAAATAATTCATTTCTACGAAAAATGCATAAAAAATACTGCATGAGTGACATTTTGTTCTTTTCTGTGTGAATTTTTTACATAAAAATTGTATTTATATAACATTATTTTATTATTTTAATTGGATTGATAACACTTCTTCTCTTATCTAAATTAGATTAATTTCTCCATCACATGATGGGTCACTAGTTTGATCTTAAAGTCAATAAAAAATTTGAAAATTGACATTATTACACGGAAAAAAAAAATGATGGTAGAGAAATAAATTTTAAAAATATATTATGAGTCTGCATTGGTACTCCTAAAAACGTATGGCAAGTGTTGACATTTAGGGTTGGTTTGAAGTATCCTAAAAAAGTGTACTTTTTGTCTTTTTATGAAAAGATGTATAGAAAAGTAGAGAGATGATGTGATGGAAAAAAGATAAAAAGATAAAAAGATGGATTATATAGGTTATGCCAAACCTAGCCTTAGTCTAAGTTTGGCATCATTTAAAAAATTCAAAAAATTAAAAAGTCACTATCCTATTTCAACCAACTGGAGTTTGGAGACAAGTTCAATGAAGCGGCCAGGAGAATGGGCTTTGGTGAAGATATCAGCAGGTTGATCAGCAGAGGAGATTGGATGGAGATGGACAGTACCATGAGTGACGTGTTGACGAATAAAATGACAGTCAATCTCAATGTGCTTGGTGCGATCATGAAAAACA